CTAAACATTTTCCTTCACTTGCAGGTGATGTGGTTCTTCTGGATGTGTGCCCCCTGACCCTTGGTATTGAGACTGTTGGAGGAGTAATGACGAAGCTGATCCCCAGGAACACTGTGGTGCCCACCAAAAAAGCCCAGATCTTTTCTACAGCTTCTGATAACCAGCCTACTGTCACCATCAAAGTCTATGAAGGTAAGAGTTTAGATATTATTCTTTAAAGTTCCCAAATAGTGTTTTTATACAAAGACTCCAATGACAAGAAACCTGTGACAGTGAAATAAATAAGTTCCACAAGTCTAATTGTGACTTTTTTTTTAAGGTGAGCGTCCTTTGACCAAAGACAACCATCTCCTGGGTACCTTCGACCTGACTGGCATCCCCCCTGCTCCTCGCGGTGTACCGCAGATTGAAGTCACCTTTGAGATTAATGCCAACGGCATTCTGCGTGTCACTGCTGAGGACAAAGGCACAGGCAACAAGAACAAGATCACAATCACAAATGACCAGAACCGGCTAACGCCCGAGGACATCGAGCGCATGGTGAACGATGCAGAACGCTTTGCTGACAAAGATAAGAAGCTGAAGGAGAGGATCGACGCTCGCAATGAGCTGGAGAGCTACGCATACTCCCTGAAGAACCAGATCGGTGACAAAGAGAAGCTTGGTGGCAAGCTGTCAGATGACGATAAGGAGTCCATTGAAAAGGCAGTGGAGGAGAAGATTGAATGGTTGGAATCCCACCAAGATGCTGACCTGGATGACTTCCAGGCCAAGAAGAAGGAGCTTGAGGAGGTGGTTCAGCCCATCATCACCAAGCTCTACGGTAGTGCAGGTGGTCCTCCACCAGAGGGCAGTGAGCAAGATGAGAAGGATGAGTTGTAGGCAGGTCTGAAGTCTTGTCGCTCCTTGGCCCTCTGGCATGTTGGTGTACATATTGGACTGATGGGACTCAAATTGTGAGAGGAGTGGTCAGGAAGGGGCTGACAATAACAAGTGACCATACTGAATTTCCTGAAAGACTTTAAAACAAGTTTCAGTGTATGAGACGTGTTCTCTTCGCTGGAAGGCGGAGATATTTGTCAGCCTGGATATGAGGCTTGTTGCTGCTGTTCTCAGGCAGTCCTGATGGGGAGGGATGTAGTTGGGTGGGCGGGTGGGTTTTTGTGGGTACACTGAATATAGTGTCTGTGGGATGAAGGGCTCTTTATGTTCACAGGCAGTGCAAAAGTTTATTTATTGAATCTGGTCATTGTACGTCTGGAAGGACAATTGAAATAAATGTTTGATACAAACTGTTTTCTGTCCGGTCTTATTTTATAGTTTCAGGTTCCACATTGGTAAAGTCAACCCTCTGAAAACTTGATCTTTCAGTATATGAAATTTCAATTTTGTACATGAATGAGAAGCATTTCAACCTTTTTTCTTTCAGCATGTAATGGTAGAAGCTTTAAATGTAATTATAATGTCAAATATTTTATTCCTACATTTTTATTTTATTTTACAAAATTCAATATATATGGTACCCAGAGTATTCATGCCTCCAAATACAAATAACAGGTTTATTGCCTCAGGGGGTGCTGGTCCGTTGGCTTGCTCCTCCTCTGGATTACCATCATCACACACCATCCAGGGAAATATACACATGGAGTGGTCAAGACGTTTAGGTGGCAGAGCTCCTTTGAATTTCATTAGGAACCATCTACATTTGTCTGTAAGCAGAAAATATACAAACAATCATACTTGGATGTTTGTAAACAACTAAAATACCGTATTTATATAGGGTTAAAAAAAAATATGAATGGCTTAAAGACAGCGTACCAGTGTTAAATCTGTACATGGAGTTGCTTGCTCCATCTGCTGTCATCCCTCCAAAGATGTAAATGTTCTTGCCCAGCACAACAGCTGAGTGGGCAGCTACTCCTGGTGGAATATCTGCTTTGGCCTGCACTTTCTCCCACTTCATGCTTTCTTTAAAGATAATTTAACAGATATTTTTATATCATCCCAGTGCAATGCAGTGATACTCTGAACAATTATGCTGCATGTGTGTTGACATACAGTGAATGAATGTAGATCTTTGAATCCACCGCTACAATGATGTGACCACGTGCGCTGGAAGGTGCCTGCCTTGTGTTTCAGGTTGGGACCAAGTAGAAGACACTGCAACACATTTACATGAAAGTGATGGACAGAGAAAAAAATAATTACTGTCATATAAACATATACATTTTTCATATCATCTGTTCAAACTGAAACCAGAAAGGCATAATTTACAGCAGAAAAAAAACATAATTTCAGAGACGATGCAGAGAATACATGCCCCTTGATACTTAAAATGTGTGCTTTTTGGCCCCCTTAACAAAAATATTAAAGAATCAGGTATCTTATTTTGAAAAATTAAACTTCTTGAAAGACATTTAAAGCTGTTTTTGGATGTTGGCTGTCTGTTTTTCATTCTCTGTCAAGATGATCCCACACTGCTTCAATAATGTTGAGGTCCAGGCACTGGGGAAGCCAATCAATGACTGGTTGTGTTCCATTGTTCGTGTGCTTTAAATCCAGGTCTGCTTTTACTGCACTGGGGGTATACTGGGATCACTGTCATGCTGAAAATAAAGCCATTGCCAATTAGATGCTTTCAACAAGGTGGATCAAAATCTGACTGTACCTTTCTGTGTTCAGAATTCCACCAGTTTTAAAAAAAAAAAGCTTCAACACCACTGTCTGAAATGCTCCTCGAAAACATAACACAGTCTCCACTGTGTATTACAGATGGCTGTGGATTCTCTCTGTTGTAGCTCTGTCCTGTCCTTCTTTGTACATATCGATGAGGATTTACATCAAAGATTTCATTTTTTCATTAATCACTCCAACAGACCTGTTGCCACTGATTTTCAATCCAGTACCTGTGTTATTTGGTATACCTCAGCCTTTTCTCCCTGCTTCCCTTCCTTAAGAATGAGCCACCCATCAACTTAGACGATTTCTGATGAGGCTTCAATAAACAGCAGATGTATCAGTTGAAAAGCTAGATGTATTTCTCAGGTCCTGTGTCAGGTGTTTGCTGGATTTTTTCCTGTTTCTTAAGGTCATGACTTTCAGACAATGTTCACCTGCGGTAGATTTTTAGGCCTGATTTTTTTTTTTAATTTTGGTCCTCCACTTGTTCATTTTCTTCTGATATTTTATAAACAATCTACAAACCATGCAGACATAAGCCAAGTTTTCACCTAATAGCTCTTTGGGAATCACCTTGTCGGTGCAAAAATACAAATTTGTGTCTGTCAAACTGTAATATATTTAGCATTTATGGTAGTTGGAACTGAAAAAAATTGGAACAAAAAATGTGTTTTTGCAACAGGCTGCAAGCAACAAAAAGCATAAAGATAGAATTTTCTTATGGTTGTATGGCATAACAGACAGACAGACAGGCAGATAGATAGATAGATAGATAGATAGATAGATAGATAGATAGATAGATAGATAGGGCAGTATTTACTTTTAAGGGAATAGTATTGTATTTTGTATTGTATTTGTTGAAATGTTTAGAAAAAATGGTTTAAATGTTTAGCAATAATTTATCAAGTGAAAAAAGTTAGTTTTTGTAAAAACATAATAGTTATTCAGGAACATTGTACATGTTTGCCTATTGCTATATATTTAAACGATTATCATTTGTTACTGTAACATACATAAGAAAGTCATAATAAAATGAATCAGTTATACTCAAAAAGTGTCCCACCTCAACATGTTCTTGGCAGTCTGAAAACCTATTATCATTTTAAATATCTCCATGTAGCATTATCCCTCTGACTTTCACATTAATCTTTTGAACTTGAAAGAGAGGTCAAAGGTTAAATGTGGTATGACATTTAAAATCTTTAGAGTCTAAGTTATAAGGCTTTTGGCAATTTTCCACCAATAGGTCATTAAGTTTACAATGAAGACCTGAGTGTAAGCAAGGCCGATTTTAATGTGTTGTTAACATGAACTCACACTACACTCCTACGAAGGTTTATCAGATTTCACTCAAAACGATTTAAGTGGCAGACTGACAAAAATATAACTGCCTTGGCGGAGGTAATTATACATTTATACATACATTCACTTATTTTTACATACTTGTAGCGTTACATTCACACACTCACACTTCGGCACAAACGGTGACGTCGCCTAAACCTGATATGTGCAAATCAGGTGCAGCCAGCGCGCGAGACGAAACCAATCAGCGCCTTCCACCAAACAGCAGCTCAACCAATAGCGAGCCTCAAAACCGGGAAAGCGTGACGACTTGTTTATGAAGGCTTCTATATATACACGATTTCACAAATGCAATTATGTGAAATAGACAAAATAGACACAGTTTGCTTCACAGTATTGGAACTTCTGGAGGTTATCGCTGCTTATACTATTTTATTTTGTAAACAAAGACGCTATCAAGACCTCAACTACAATTTCGCGAAGGTAAGACTCGAACCGGCGCCGGTGGTTTCAAACTGGGATTCATGTTGGTGCGTCTAAACTGAGTGAGCTAAACTGACAACAGGGAAAAGTGCGTCACAGATTTATATATGAAGGTTAAAACGTCTATCATCAGCATGATCATTTTTTACATTTTCAACAAGACTTTTTTTTTT